CCCACCCCCACCCCAGGCCGCCTCACATTCTTCCACCCCCATCCTAGCCAGGAGGGCTAAACAGAGGAGCAAAGAGAGGGGGCAGGGATGGGGAGGAAGTTTGCGTCTGAATGTGTGCTCCAGTTGCATTCCAGAGGCAAACAGAAAGTAAAATAGAAAAAAATTAAAGTCAGCTCACCACTGTTTTATATTATCCATGGCTCTGCAACTCTTCATCCAAGCAGATAACCACCACTGGACAAGATTCCCATGGAAGGGCAGAAACAGAGAGCCTCACAGACTATCTGCCCTGTTCAGTTTTCAACAGGTTGCTGTAAGGATCAGAGAGGTTCAGTGACCTAAGGTCACACAGCCAGTTACTACAGATCCATGACTAGAACTCGGGTCTCCTAAAACTCGGATCAAGGCTCATTTAGTACCCATGCCTGGTTTTTACTCACACACATGTAAGCATTTATTGAGTCTCTTTCTTCAGACAGCCCTATGGGTTAAACCAGAGGTTAGGTTGATAGAAAAAAGAATTTGATGGGTGGGCAATCTTTCACCATAGGAAAAAGGAGCTGCTATTTGCTCTGGGCTAGGTGCAGACCCTGAGCCACGTGCAGGCCCCCTAGAGGACGGAGGCAGTCTCACGGCAACAGTCTCACGAGGGTTGCACAAATTGGGCAATTGAGGGGAACTGAAATTTTATCTTTTCTTTCTTTTTTCTTCCTCCAACAGGGTATGAAAGAGCCAGTGAAAACCCCAGGCAGACACACTGAGCAGCCTCTGAATAACTGAGAAATGCAGACAAAGGTGGTGATTTGGGGAACTGGAGAGCAAGTCCTTCACCAGCTCTGCCTCCTTGCTGTCACTGTCACAGTACCCGAGCCAGCGAGGCTTTTCCCGACCCTCCCTTGTGTGCACACGGCGTGAGTGTGCTTGTGCCCGTGTTCGCAGACCTGGAGCTCCGGCCTCTTTCTGTGTGTTCTTTCCCACACACCCGCTTCCTCTTCTGCCGCTCATGCCACAGTCCTCGGAGAGGCCAGCACAAGGTTTCCATTAGTGAAGCACATTTTTGTGCTATGGATATTGAACCAGGGAGGAAAGAAAGCAGACTGTTGTCCATGATGGATGGGTTTTCTAGAGGACTTCCCAGGGTGGTCCTTAAGGGGGCCAGGATGGAGCCGAGGGGCTCACAGCTTCACAACCTTCCCTTGTTTCCTAGGACGTCTGTGTTGGGGGTGTGTCTACCCTGCCGCCAGCTCTCCCACCTCCATTCATCCCGTGCTTGCCCCTCCTCCTTGGTCCCCCTTCCCCCCAGCAGCCCCAGCCTCCAGTTTACCTGAGTGCAAAAGCACTTTCTAAATCCTCCTTTTAGAATAAAAAGCAATGTGTCCTGGCTGCTTGCTGTTTATTATAGATCATGGTTGCCCCTAAGGAGAAGGGATGGTTTGGGGACCAGAGCTTTTGGAATATCACCCATTATTCCTGCATTTCAGAATGCTGAGGTTTTCCTAAGCTTTATAAGCCTGAATTGCCATGGTCATCATGTTTATCAACATACACCCTGGATGAGATGAGACAGGCGAACCAAAGGCTCATCGCTGATTCTCACCATCTTGTGCATTGCCTCAAACACAGCATGGGGGATAAATAATTAATAAAAGTAACTAGGAGTCTGTGGAAACTTAGTTTATAAATCACTTTCTCTTAGTTTAGTTAACCCTTTTTTTTTTTTTTTTTAATAGAAGAAGGAGATGAGCTTCTGGGAGCAAGTGGCAGAGTGGGAAAGCAAATCCAGGCCCTTGACTTGAGGTCTCAGGCTATGCCATCTCGTCGCACTGTTGGGGAGACCTAGAACTTCTGTGGGAAAGAACCTGTGGAGGAAATAACGCAGAAGAATTCAGGGAAGTAGGTGCTAATAGTACAACACAGAGTGATTTGGGGACAGATAGCCCCTGGAATGATTTGAGGCCTATTATCTGAATTCAGTGAGGGGAAAATGGAAGGGCCATAAAGACTTGGGGCAGTTCACCCAAGGTCAAATCACTGAGAACAAAGGCGAGTTAATCAAATCTTTAATCCAGTTGAAGGGTTTTCAAAGAGCTTTTGGGGACAGGTGGAATGGCAGACTAGAGGCCCAGACCTCCCAGGAGGGCCCTCATCCGCAGCCTTTCTTTCCAGTTCAGTATTGGAAAGTTCTTAACACTCAAAGTAAGTCACAGGATACACTGCAGCCTCAAAACATTCCCAGTGTCCAAGTCTTGGAAATTTACATATTAAAGGCTCTCAGATATCCCACGGGCAAAACCAAAATCAAACAAAGCACCCCAAATAAGACAAAAACCCTCCCCAAAACGGGGGGAAACACCTTTATTTAACTCAGTGTTATTTGGATTCCCTGTCTGACCTGCAGAGCCAGCATCCGCTCTCCTGTTCAGTCCCTGGGACCAGTGAGAGCACTGCTCTTCTAGGGAACTGCCGGCATAAAAGGAATCCTTTGTCTTGGTGGTTTTAGGGGCTGAATTTACAAGGGTCTTCCCAGCTCTCAGATCCCCTCGCTCACACATAAAAATCAATGCATATTTTCCTCTCCTTTTAGAAAGAAGTATGCCCAGCCCACCACACACATGCACCTATACCTGCTTCCTGAGCTCACCGCAGGTCTCCCCCAGAGTGCTGCCAGAGGTTGCATCTCACTCACTCCTCAAGCCCAGGGCTTTAGCAGAGAGCTTGGCCTATAAAATATAGGTGCCTAGCCCAGCCGGTCGTGGCTCAGCGGTTGAGCATCAACCTAGAATCCAGGAGATCGAGGTTCGATTCCCTGCCAGAGAACATGCCCGGGCTGCGGGCTTGATCCCCAATGACTCTCTCATCATTGATGTTTCTGTCTGTCTCTCTCTCCCTCTCCTTTCCTCTCCCTGAAATCAATAAAGATATTTAAAAAAAAGAAAAGAAAANACTCACTCCTCAAGCCCAGGGCTTTAGCAGAGAGCTTGGCCTATAAAATATAGGTGCCTAGCCCAGCCGGTCGTGGCTCAGCGGTTGAGCATCAACCTAGAATCCAGGAGATCGAGGTTCGATTCCCTGCCAGAGAACATGCCCGGGCTGCGGGCTTGATCCCCAATGACTCTCTCATCATTGATGTTTCTGTCTGTCTCTCTCTCCCTCTCCTTTCCTCTCCCTGAAATCAATAAAGATATTTAAAAAAAAAAAAAAATAGGTGCCTAAAATGTGTGAGCAGAATTGAGTGCGCTGCACTTGTGAGTTATTCTGACACTTTCTGCAACCCCTCACCCCACATAGAGACTGTGTCTAGAGTCTCCCCAAGAGCTGAGTTTGTGAGGTGTTGAGATTCTACTGTGAGAGTCAAATATGCCTAAGCATAGTTCACTGCTCCCTTCCTCCCCACCCCTACCTCTGCCCCCAACCTTTCAATCTCCCAGGTCCCAGATCAAACCTCTACCCTAAAATCTCTTTGTTTCTGCAAGCTGATGAGGTGGCAACACATACCCCTTTCTCCTGCTCCCCATGCTCCACTCTCGTCTCCCACTCCCTTTTCTTTCCCATCTTAATCGTCTCCACACTCCTCTCCTCTTTTCTCCCTCCCTTCCTTGCCTCTCCCCACTTCTCTCTCTCACCTCAGCCCCAAGTAGGCTTTCTTTCTGTCTACTGAGCTGTCAGTCTTGCTCCAGCCAAGCAGCTGACCCCAAAGAACCTCTGTCTGGGCCTTGGGCCGATCCCTTCCCTCTGGTTGTACGATTCAGGAGGACTGAATGATCTAAACAAGAAATGCACATGTTGGTCTAGAGTCTTCCGGGGATGCCCTTTACTGCTCTTCTGGGTTAAAAAGTTCACTCAGAGATTTATCTGCATTTGGCTGAGGCAGTACATCTGGCCAGTTTGAGCACGTCTGTCCACAGCCTCAGCCACCGTGGCCACTGGTTCCGCTGCCCAGAGAGGGTGCAATTTAGCAAGGGTAGGTTTTAGAGAGGGCCTCCTGCTCCATGTCGATCAAAGAGTGTGGTTCCAGTAATGACCCAGGCTGGGTTTGGGAAATCCAGATGTGTGTTGGAAATGAAGTCGAGTGAAAGAGGGAGGACCCATGTCTTGCACCCACAACCAGGCTCCTTCTATGGATAGAGTGCAAAGGAGATCAGAGGAAATGTAAGAGCTGAGGGGCCTGTTGGTGGGGGGTAGTGAAGGCTAGAGAGGAGGCCAGAGACCCAGGGAAAAGGGCATGACCTACTAAATACATGGGCAAAGGGGCCCTGCAGTCCTGGGTCCCTGGTGGGGGAGCAGGAAACGAGAATGTCTCCGGGTCTTGACATGTGGTTGTAATGATCACAGGCCCTTTAGGCTCCAAGGGACCTCAGAGGTCATCTCCTCCATCTTCTTGCTTCCGGGTAGGGCTGTATCTAAACTAGTCAAGATGTGCAGGCAACTCTGTTCTTAAAGATCCCTGGAGAAGGAAAAATGAGCTCCTTTTCATCAACTATTAGGCTCAGGATCTTGGTGGTGACTTTTTCTACATCTTCCAAAAAGGTCACAATTTACAAAGGCTGCCTGAGAAATTGTTCTGTGACTAAGCTGGATGTCTGGACTCCCGGCCCTTGGTGAATAGTGCATTGCCATTCCAGTTTCCCAGGCATGAAAGTTCTTGCTGCTCAGCCTCACCTCTCCCTGCTTGCTCCAGCTTCCATTGTCCTCTACGTGATATATGCAAAGTGGTTAGAACAGTGTAGGACACACAGCACTATGTGTTAGATGTTATTACAATTGCTGCTATGGCTGCAGCTTTCAGTGGAGATAGAAATCAGCTGTTTATCGATTTCCTTCTTTAGAATATCCATTATCTATACTGCCATTCAAAAAGCAGAGAGGGGATTTGGGTATCACAGCTGGGATGTCCCCCTGACCTGCCTCCTACTTTACCTTCACTCTGCCTCTCGGGCCAGGTTGCTCCCCCCTCCATATTTTGTGTGTTCCCATAACCACATTAGCTGACCTTCTTGAAGGGGCCGTAGCATGATGCACAGTAATGGCTAAAGGCCCCCAGTAGGGTAGCCGTGTAATTTATTATCCAATCCAGGATGCTTTTCAGAGTGAAAGGGGATGCTGTTAATTATGTGGGACAACAAGAACTTTCCCAGGCAAAGTGGGAGACTGATCAACCTAATTCTGGGCTTGAATCTGTCAACTCTGAGAAAGAAGATACCTACCAAAAAGGGCTCCTGTGGCTAACTGGGCTCAAATTTAAAATGGCCTAGCAGTCTTTTCTAAACAGGGGCCTCTCATGCAAGTTGTGTTTCAGGGAGAAGCCTTCACCAAGCTGCCTGCCTCCCACACAGAACTGCCTGCCTGCACTATGTTCCTGCCAGCTGAGCCAACCCTTATAAAGGAGCTTCCTGGGATTGTATTTCAACCAATAAGACTGAGACTTTCCTCATCCAGTTGGAGCCCTGTAGCGATATAGCCTCATTAACATATTCACCAATCAGAAAGGCTCAATTCTGACCAATCAGAATAGTGCTTTTTGGACCAATTAAATTGTGAAGACTTGGAGTCCTCATTTGCATGAGGACAGACCAATCAAGGATTGGAGGGGGCCTTCTCTCTATATAAGTCAACCTCCCTTCTAGCTGGAGATGTGCAGTTTCTCTTCTCACTGAAGACCGAATACGTTCCCCAGCTGAAGGTGAAACACTGACAGATATCCCAGCCTGAGTGGAAGAGATAAGAGCAGAGCAGAGCCGAGCAGAGCTGTCTAGCAGGAGAGAGGCCTTGCCTCACAGCTGTGCTAGACCACAGCCATGCTGGTTTGTAATTGAACTGTAGCACTGTGGAGCTGGTCCACAGCCCTGCTGTATCACAGCTGAGCTGTTTACACTGAATAAAGTTTCCTTCTTTGCCACACCCCAAATCGGGGGTTCCTGTTGGCTTTGAATTGGTCTCAATGACCATCGGTTGAAAAATCAAATCTCTACAACCTGTACCTTGGCTGGCCCTGAGCAATTTAATTATTTTGAGCTTTGG